CTCTATTGTTGTTTTTTTGTATTTATAGCCAACTGTGTTAGCGCAGTGTTTCTCAAAATCCATGACAACGAGACAACAAAAATTATTGCTTCATTTTCAAATTCGTGCATTATAATTTAGAAAAATATTGCTAAATATGTAGTAGAAAAAACTAAAAGCATTTTCATAGCTTTTTCGCTTAACATTTGATATTCTTCCTGAACTTCCAACCAAAATTTGGCCAAACCTCTTTGTTTAATTAGCAACTCCAAATTTTTGTGTGTTCTTCAAAATTTAATTAAAAGCTCTTCATTTATTGAAGACAAAATATTATTTGTTTCGCATTGCATGAAAGGATTCTGTTTCATATATTACCTATAGGAATTGCTTGAGAAGAAGAGTAAGTTTTAAACTTGCTTTTTAGTTTTAGTGAACGCGTTTTGCAGCAACAATTTCTCGAGTTAATTTTATTTTCTTTTAATTCAATTTTATCTATTTTTCCCAAAAAATTGGAAATCTTTCGAAGGTGTTATTTTTAACTATAACCAAATATCTAGGTCGGGGACAGTATTTTTATATCTAACCAAATACTGTCCCCGACCACACTTGTGGTCACGATCTCCGATTTGAGAATCACTGTGTTAGCGTTTCTTAAATAGTAAAATTCTAACTAAGATATAATTAAAATATCGATTATTTTTTAGTCCCAACTTGTAGATGACAGTACATTTTACATGCGTATATATGTATATGTATGTATTTCTATTTTAAAATACAATTTTTTTTTGGAAACAAAGGTAATATGTATGTAAATACATATACATATGTAAAAAAACATTCTTTATAATTTGAAAATATTTTAAATGTTAATCCAAAATAATGAACTTATTTTTCAAAATTTTATAATTACCTATATATCTATGTAACATACATACTAATTTCAACGTTGAATATGGAATTAAAAACATCTGATGTGGTCAGGATATGACCGACCGCAATGAGTATTGCCTAGTTAAGTGAAAGTGTTACAGAATATTATAAAAATGCCTTTAAATACTTCTTTCCAATTTTTACGGTGTTAGTAAGCTTTCAGTTGACATACCTAGAAAAATGTAAATTTGGCTCTTATTATCTATTGGTATTGCTTTGTGCCACCAGAATTTCCTGAAATGCTCGCCAGTTAGTTTCGGTAAAATAAAATTTCAAGAAATTTCATCAATTAGTTCCATAGATATGATGAAAAATTAAACTGGGCCCCGAGATCGATTTCCGAGTCGCGATAGTTCCAAAAAACTTATATTCATTGTTTTAACGCTCTAAATTTAAATATTAAATTTCAAAAAAATTGCTTGATTATTTCTCTTTATGTTGACAAAAATCTAAAATTGGCCCACAAAAAAGTTCAGTTCCCAAAGCGTGATGTATCCCAAAAGTTGATCAATCCGTAACATAGCCAAAACAAACTCACATATAAAATTTCATGAAAATCAGTTCGGCAGAACTTGAGATACATGCGTACACACATACACAAACAGACCCATAGGTTGCTAAAAATTGTTTATTTACACTTCCCTACCATATAGAAGTGCGTTCCTACCGAAAATTCAAAATAGAACAGTCAATATTTTATATTTGTGTATTCTTAAATCATCAAAGATTTTTGCAACCGTCTTAAAGTATTTTTAAATTAGAATTAAATTAAATTTATATACATAAGTACATGCATATATTGAAACAAAGATTTTTTAATTAAGTTACTTTTAAGACGACATAGTTAATGTACACCTTTTAAGTTTCCAAAGATGAAAGGAATTTCCGATTTAGTTTCCTTGACATATATTCGTATAATTGATAATAAAGTTTTGGTTTTATGCATGAATATTATTTTTTTAAATTTCTTTAAAAATATTTCTATTAAATTCTATTTTGATCAATTAGAATTACACTTTACAAATAATTCAAAGTAATATTCAATAAGTGAATTAAAATTTGTTTTAAATCTTAACAATTTATTGTTATACAATTAATTTAAATAAAGTTGGGTCAAACCAATGGTTTGTATTGTAGCACTTTTCCCTTCAACAAGTGAAAATTCTGCTTTTAAATACAGTCTATGTATAGCTATCACACTATTAAAATTATTTTCATTCATATACAAAACTATTTCTAGGATTGCATATATTTAAGATGACGCATATATGCAGTCTTTGAAATAAAGCAAAAATTAATATAAAAAGGGGTTAACATAATGCTCGATTTTAAGGGTTAATTGTGTGAGTTAAGAAAAATAATTATATTTTCTAATTTCACGGAATTTACCGTTAGCTTTTCGCGTTTATAAAAATTTGGAAAAGCTTGCGGTTTCGGAAATATAAGGTGTCAAAAATTCAAATTTTACGAATTTCAAGAGGTGATAACTTGAGAGGGGGTGGAGATGGAAAAAATTTTCTTCAAACAAAATGAACTATTTATTAATATCTAAAAGCTCCTAAAATTTCAAGCTTCTACAGTCTGGGGTCTAGAAGAAAAACGACATCAAAAATTTGGAAAAAAAGGACTTTAAATAACGGTAAATTTGAGCGGCCATTTTGTTTTTCTTAAGTTAAACTATAGTATACCGCGCAAGGGGAAGCAAGCCACTGGCTTTTTTGCGTTTGCAAAATTTCAAAAATGCTTATGGTTTCATTGCAACAAATATTTAAAAAAGGCCATTTTTAGGGTTTTGGGGGGGTATAACTTCTAGAGGGGGGGAGATAGGTAAAAATTTTGTTCTACGGAAATAAGTTTCTAGTGAAGATCTATGTACGTATTAAATTTCAGCTTTCTATCTTCAAAGGTGTAGAAGTTTTGTAAACAGACACACGGACAGACGGACGGATGGACGGACAGACAGAGTGAAACTAATAAGCACTTTTTTCAAAAAATTTTTTGGAAAAGTGCTAAAAAGTTTAATATGCAATCTATAATAAATTTTAATTTTCATTATTTTACTGCAAAATTTTAAATTTGGAATTGTGTCAATCAATGAGGCAATTGCCTGATTTTATTGTATACAATAATTGAAATAAAAACAATATTCCCTAAAAATCTACATATTTATGAATTGAAGAAAAAACTTTTAACAAATCAATTAATTTTTAAATTATTTGCGTATTTGACAAGAATGTATTTTATATACATATGTGTACATGTTTTAGTGTGGCAGAAAATGAATTTTTTATTAACTACATTTCAATATGACTGCGGAATAAGTCAGGTGATTACCATATGTGCTGAGAGTTAATAAAGTATAAAAATATTTTAAATATTTAACATTATTCGTAAGTAAGTGTATATTATACGAGTATACTCAGAATATTTTGGTTAAACTTCAATCAGATTAGAACTTAAACTGTATTATTTTTGATATTTCTACAATCGATTTTTACTTCACGAAATTTGTGAATAGAGAAAAATAAAACCGCGTTCCGATAGTAGTAGTGTTTTTTTGTAATTTTTTTAGTTTTTTACTGTGCGCCTATGTATGGAGTTATATGAAAATGTACGTTATGAAAATGTATATATGTATGTATATTCCTGTAAAATTCTGCAATGATTTAAATATGCCCGTCTTTCCGCTTCTCTTCGATCGCACGGTAACTCTCAAGGCGAACAAAACAATACCACTAAACTTTCCCAAATACTTTTTTCCTGCAAAGGACGAGTGCTATTATAATTGGATCAATTAGTACAACGAGTTAAAGTAGTAACCAAAATACAAAGTAAACCATACAATCCAAAAATTGGAGTTGTATGGTTTACTTTGAAAAACTGTCTTCTGCATATCGCTATATACATAGTTTATGCTCAATGGTTTTAGGAAAATTTTTATGTTCACACTATTAAAATTTTTTTCCTCAAAAAGTTTGAAAAGCTCAAATATAGTTTGATTTTGATATCAAACTTGGCCATTTACCTTATATTGAATATCTCCATGAAAAAAGGAAAGTATTGCTTTTTAACAAAACTATATGTATTTTTTCAATAACTTTATGTGTAAATTAATGCAAAAAATTTTATTACATGAATATCGAAAAAGCATATAAATATGTATAACTACATGCATACATACATATATAAATATAAGATCCTCACACAAGATTTGGGATTTTGCTCAATGTCTATGAATTTTAATTTTTTTCATTTCATTAGAGTAATATTTAGGTATAAGATGTAGGTAATTGATTCCTTTAAAAACTGTTTGTGTGGGAATTTACATTTCCTTGTTTGTATTATTTTTGTATGCATGTAGCCAAACCTATAAAATATTATTTCTGATCACATAATTTTTGTTTCAGTTTTTTGTACAATTCACTTGTGTATTGTGAAATAATATACAAATTTAAATGTTAGGAAAAGTTAACGATTTTACTAAAATTAAAATTATAAAAATATTTTCACATAAATAGTATATACTGTACTAACATTATTTACTTACGTATAAACATACATATTTACTTACTTAAATGATTAATGTGAAGAACTCAAAAACTTATTATTTATTTTCTTAAGATAAATTTATTATTTATTTGTTTTAAATAAGTTAATAATTAAAGTATTTGTTGGTTGTCATTTTGGTTACTTCCAATAAATAAAAGAAATATGAAAAAAAAATGGTAAATTTGAAACGAAAAATTATTGATTATTTGCTTGTACCTTTAATAAACTGCCGTATTTCTTATAGCAATAAAATAATGTGTTTGGGTTCCTTCCATATACATATTTATGTATATACATATATGTATTTATTTATATGTATGTATATTTTAATAAACAAAAGTTGGAAAATTTACGGTGGCTCCTTCATTTTCACATAAATTCCATATTTTAAATTCCATGAATGTTTTACTTTACAGCACTTTAAAGGAATTTATTTGGTTTGCAAGGGTTTAGTTATTTGATTTTCTGTATCTTTTGTGTTACTTTTCATACTTAAATGTTTTGGATTTTCCGAAGTGCAACATTAAATTTTCATTGATATTGAAAAATAAAGTTTAAAAGACTAGAATTATGAAAATTAAAATTTTTTATGACTTTTTAAGTACCCAAGCATACTATTTGCTTCGTTTGGACGTTGGTACTAATTATGTTACCTTGTACATGATGATGGTAATTATAAATACTAAACTTGGTCTCTTGTCATAATAATTTTAATTTAAATAAGTATGATTTTATTTTGCTATCTATTTAAAAGTAGAACGTAAAATAAAAAATGTTATTTTAAGTAAATAGAAATGACTCTTGTATTCAAATAAAAAAAATAATTAAAACTGTTTGCGAAATATTAAATTTTGGTGGGAATGGAAAGAAAATTGTTTAACACAATTGAAATTGGTTTTATAGTTGTCGGGAATAATTTTTGATTACTAGATACTATTGGTTACAAGAAGAGAATTTATGTGATGGCACGAATTGCGCACGTAGAGTTTTTGGAAATGCACTTGTATGTAGTAGAGAAGCGTAAATAAACTATTTTTAAGTAGATGTCTGTCTGTGCAAATCTGTATTTCAATTTCGTCTGAACCGATTTCATTTATCTGAGCTTACTTTGGTTATATCACGGTTTAATTAACTTTTCGGATAATTAAGGTTTCGAAAACTTGGTCATTACTATACGAGCTTTATATTTTTGATTTATTTTAAGTATATATGCAAAAGATTAAAATGAAATTTTATATGTAAGCTTATGTGTATTCTCAACAACACCGTTTTTCAAGAATGGCTTAACAAAAAGTCTAGCTTTTCAAGGAAATCAGGCGTCAATAACTGTAATACATTTTCGCGCATATGAAGAGATATATTTGAACTTAGAACGTTAAAACAATAAACTAGTTAATTTTTTCAAAATATTATAGCTGAGAACCTGGACTTTTACGGGGGGCCGATTTTACATTTTTTATTATATCTTAAAAATAAATTGACAGATATTCTTGAAAAGTAATATTTGACTTCTGCTTGCTACCGGAACTAGCTAAGAAACTTTTCGGGGATCTCGGGTAAGCATAAATCGAAGTGGTTTACTAAGAGCTGATTTCCATTTTTCTAAGTATGTTAAATAAAAGCTTAGTAGCGTTCTTAAAAATTGGTATTGCACAAGACTATGAAAAGTTAATAAATATTTGGATTGCTAAACCAAAAAGCATATCTATGTGGTCGGTAATACACGATTAACATCAGATTTATTTCTTTTGCTACATACAAAAAAATAAAAAATAAAAATATGTATGTATATACATAAATTAATTGAAACAATGTTGAAATTTCAAAAGTTTGAGCGCAAATGATTTCCTAAACTTTTAATAAATTTTGCACATAATATACATAGGTTATTATGTAAATATACATAAGTGTTGATGCGGAAAAATTAAGCGTACACGTATCCATTGAGTTGTATAAAATCGAATTGACAGGTTGTCTTTCTGGCTTTTAAAATTAATTTGTCAAATTTTTTCAAAAATTTTATTTTATATACATATGTATTTTAGTTATGTATATCTGTTATTTTTACATTTTGTTTTTATTTTGTTTTTTGCAGATGAAAATAAAATTATAATCACTATAGTTTAAAATTGGACTAAATTTCGTTTTGATTTTTACTGCAAATTTCAATTAAATTACTAAACTAAAACCATATTTAAATTCTAATTAATATTACAATGGAAGATTCTGAAAATGGTTATGTTAATAAAGGATATACCACTCAAAATAATAATAAATCAGTTCCTATTAGTTACAACAGCGGATTTAATAATCAACATAGTTCTGTTTATACAATATCAGATAATATTCCATTACAAGATCAGAAGGTTATACTTTAATATATAAGCTCACACATATTAAAGTTTTTACACATTTTTCTTTTTAAATATTTTTAGACTCAATCAATTCCAGTGAACGATTCTTTGGTCAGTAATAGCAATGAAATTCTCACATCTACTGAAGACAAACACAAAAGAGTAGAGAGTCGTGATAAATGGGGTAGTGATATTGAATTTTTATTCTCATGTATAGCACTATCGGTAGGATTAGGAAATGTTTGGCGTTTTCCCTTTACAGCACTAGATAATGGTGGTGGAGCATTCTTAATACCATATCTAATTGTGTTGATATTAGTTGGAAAACCTGTATATTATATGGAAATGGTATTGGGGCAATTTTCAAGCCGTGGTAGTATTAAAGTTTTCGATTTTTCACCAATAATGAGAGGTAATTATTAATTAATTTTGTATTCCATTATAAAATTCATGAAGTGTAATAATATAAATTTTTTATTGTATGAAAAAAGGTGTTGGTTATGGACAAGTTATGGGAACAACAATTGTTGTAACATACTATGCATCGTTAATGGCTTTAACAGTTCGATATTTCGTAGCATCTTTTGCGTCAGTCTTGCCATGGAGTTATTGTAGGGAAGAATGGAATACAGAATGTATTAATTCATCTTTAAAAATCGCAAATCTTGATTTAGAAAATAATATAAGCGCTGTTTCATCAATGCACACAAAAGATTTGTTTGGACATAAAAGAACATCAGCTGAATTATATTTTTTGTAAGATACTATAATTTAAAAATAAAATTATAATTTTATTAGTTTAAAATTCTAATCAATAAAATCTTAATTAAAGGAAAGAGATTTTAAAAGAAAAAACTACAATACATGATGGCATAGGTGTACCTAATTGGGAATTGGTAATATGCTTAGCTGTATCATGGGCTGTAGTAGCATTAATTTTGATTCGGGGTAACTTATATTATTTATTAGTTCAGTAATATCAGCAACTTAAGCTAAAACGTCTTAAGTACGAGTATGATTTTAATATTAATAAATGCATATAAATATTTATCCATAATCTAAACTAAAAAATGAGAAGTTAAACAGATGATTTTTGTTTAAATTAGGTATTAGAAGTTCTGGGAAAGCTTCATACTTTTTGGCAATATTTCCATACGTTGTTATGTTAGTTCTCTTAGTCCGAGCATTGACACTGCCAGGTGCCTTTAATGGAGTGCTTTATTTCATTAATCCTCAATGGGATCAGTTAACAAATCCCAAGGTAAATGTTTTTATATATACATACATGTACATGCGTATATCATTTTCATATAAATCACTGCGTAATAATTTTTAATACATATATTCAACTAAAGAATAGCATTTATACAGCTATGATTAAAAATTATTTTTAAATACTCAAAAGTATGGCATAAATTTAGGACATTATTTTCTATGTTTCTTTGAAAATCAATTACCCACTTAATATTGCATATATGTAGGATTATTATCATAGTCAATTTTTTTTAGGTATGGTATGCAGCTGTTACTCAAGTGTTCTTTTCTTTAGCAATTTGCTTTGGTAATATAGTTATGTATGCGTCATATAATAGATTTTCTCAGAACATTTATAGGTAATTTGTTTTATTTTTTAAAAACCACGTAATGTAATACATAACGTAATATCAATATTTAAAATTTAGGGATGCAACAATTGTTACAACATTGGATACGTTTACATCTTTATTAGCTGGAATTATAATTTTTGGAGTATTAGGAAATTTAGCTTATGAAACTGGAACAAATGATATCAAATCTGTAGTTAAAGGGGGCTCTAGCTTAGCTTTTGTGTCATACCCAGATGCGATTGCGAAATTCGCTTTTATTCCGCAGGTATGAAGAAATTTGGACTTTTAAAAAAAATAAATATGTATATCGTAATAAATTATTTACATTTTCTTATTTATCAATTTTTTATAGGTATTTTCAGTTTTGTTTTTTGTGATGTTATTCGTATTAGGAATTGGAAGTAATGTTGGAATGGCGTCATGTATAATGACTGTTATACGAGATCGTTTCTCAAACTGGAGTCATTGGATGGTGGCGTTGGGAATATCAATTGGTGGTTTTGCAATTGGTAATATTTATTTAACTCCTGGTGGACAATATATGTTGAATTTGTTAGACTTTTATGGAGCGTCATTTGTGGCCTTTGTATTGGCAATTGCTGAATTAATTGCTGTAGGATGGATTTATGGTAAATTAAAATCTATTCAAATACTTTACTAAGAACATATTGGAATTTAAATTTTCATATTTTTTTTTTCATATAATTTTTAAGGGGTAAAACGATTATGCAAGGATATTGAATTTATGTTAGATAAAAAAACTGGAATTTATTGGAGAATTTGTTGGTCTTTGATAACTCCAGGTTTGATGATTGCAATTTTGTTATATACCATTATAGATATGAGCCCATTGAAATATGGAGATTATATATATCCAGATAGTTTATACAGTAAGTATGCAGAATATTACAATTTTTCTGGATGCATAATAAAAATTTTTTTGGAAGTATAAGTACAATAATATTTTTTTATTTCATGTAAAAGCATTTGGATGGTGTCTGTCAGCATTTGGTATATTACAGTTACCGCTGTGGGGTATTTATGCAATGACAAAACAAAAAAATATAAGCATTTGGCGAAAATTTTTATCAGCATTTAATCCGCAAGAAAATTGGGGTCCAATAGATCCAGTGTTGAGAGAAAAATATAAACAATTTATTATTAATAGTAATAGTTCTGAAAGAAAATCTCGAGGTATATTTCATAAAATTTATGACAACATTTTTGGATGATGATTTTCCTAATATATTTTGTAAATTTTTGTTTTAGTGTTATTTTTTAATTATTATTAAAGTTTGTAAGTTAATTTTATTAAAATGAATTTTTTAACTAAGTAGGTAGTTGTAAGCAGCAACGCATATACATGTTTGTGCTGTGTATAGATATCTGAATATATGCTTTAAAGATCAATTAAAGAACTGCCCTTCAAAATTTTAATCAAATTAAAAAATAGTATTCTAAGGCTATAGACTTAATAGAAAATTTAAGAAACTTTACAAATAGTTGTATATTAATAGTTTTTAGCAATTTTTATATATAACTATTTAAGTAATATCATTTAAAACTGACTTGTATTGCATTATGGTTACTATTATGGTGTAATAACTTTTATATATTGCCATACTCTGATATACGATTATTGTACTTATATGAAATATGTTATAATACTTAAGAAAGTTAAACTTATATGTATTTAAAAATTTATTTAAGTTATGTACAATATGCATAGCATAATATTAATATATATGCATTTTTTTAAATATTTTTATATATACATTTTAATAAAACAAAAGTTTTTTTACAAACGGGATAGTTCGCCCCATAGTTTAAATAAAAAATTTATTTTAATACAAACCACAAAAACATTTTCTTTTTACATTCATTTTTTAACTTTTATCAAAATTTTATTTAGAATAATTACATCCTTATTTAGCGTGAGGACATAATTTTCAACGCAATAAATAAATAATAAGTCATTTATTTTACTTCAAAATTTCTTTTGGTAAGTGGAATATAATGATCGTAAGTATAGATTTCATTGAGCATTTTCTATATTTATTTGATTTCATATGTTGAAATAATAACAGTAAGTTTTCTGAATTTGAAAAGGCAAATGATTGTAAAAATGTATGTATGAAAATAACAGAAACATTTTACTTTGTGTTAATCATAATGAACAGAAAGATTTCAGATAAAAATTACAGTATATATTTGCAAATTTCTATAAATATTTTGAATTTATATTTTAAACCTAAAATTAATTTTAATGAAATTATACTGCAGATGTATAATAGATTTGCAATAGAATTTTTCAGTGACTAAACTTCTTTTTTCCCACTAGGTGAAGAAATCTCGAAAGGCGAAGAAGGACGGCCCTACCTGCCTTTTCCTCCAACAGTGGATGGGAGAGGGTGTGACTCATATTTCCTAAACTCTGAACGGATAAATCTGATTCTACAGACCAACTATTTCCGTACACAAATTAAATACCTTCCATAAGGAAATTGGTTTTTTGTGTTAAATCGAATGATCTCGTTTGTTTCAGTTTTTCTGTCAGAACGCCATTGTTTAGCAGCCGAACTGCTTCTATGCTTACCTGCCGTTCATCTACATTCATCATTCTACTCATAAATTTCATCTACAACCAAATGAATTCCTAAGTGCCTGTGGATGTCACCGTTACGCATGTGCCATGCTCCGCAGAACTTTATTCTAGAAGGTTTGAATTTTGTTACTGTGAGTCTTCTTGGCACAGCTCCACAGTTGAATGCCATATAGCCACACTGGTTTAATGATTTGGTTATAAATCAATATTTTATTATCAATTGCCAAATTAGATTGTGTGTTTTCTTTATTTATCCTTTCCACCTTAGCTTGACATCTAAAGTCATTCCTAGGTATTTTGTTGAGTTATGGATTGCTACGTTCGTTCCATTTAAATTGTGGTGAATTCACTATTTTTCGATTGGTGAAGTTTATGTGAACCGATTTTGTTTCATTAAGCTTTATTTTCCAATCTTTCATCCAATCTTTGATCCTACCGCCAATATTGCAGTATCGTCAGCAAAAGTGGCTACATACAATAAATTATTTGTATGTGTCATACTAATTTAATATGGGTACCTAATACGTGTTATTGTAATTCTCAAATGTATAACAAAATAACTATAAAATTTACATCAATATTTGAACAGTATTTATTAACCTTGCAAGATTACAAATTTTGTCAAAATTTTGTTTTTTAAATTATTTTAAGTCATATGTATACTAAAAACCCTGAACTAATGAAGTGAACTATATTTTTTAATGTAAACTATTACACTTTACGTAGATCTGCTTTAATTGGTAAATAAATGAAAAACGAAAACGAAAATTTTTGTTTTGTTTTTTTGTAAATTTGACTAAAAAATATTATCTTTTCAAAATTGAATACTTACTATTTGTAATAATCTAATAAAACTATGAATAATTTGTACTGATACGCAAGTTCAGAAATCTTTAAATTGCATATTGTAATAATAAAGCGTGAGCAGATCTGCGTTGAGTTTTGTTGTGATATTTCATATTTTTATTTATGATATATTAAAATTTTTCAATTAAATGCAAATAATATTACACTAGTTTGTTCACAAAAGGTTGAAACGTAGCTAATAAAAAATTTTGAATTGGTACAGAGTCGCAGTAGTCTAAAGCAGGACTTCTTAAACTGTGGGTTTAAGAAGTCCTGCTTCAGACTACTGAAAGGGGGTCAAAAAATTGTTACAAAAGTTTATTTTTTCTATGGAATAAATATATATGTAGTTTTATGTCATTCTATTTATTATGTTCTATTACGACCGATATCCCATCAACGTTTCCAATTATATATATGTGAAATGAATGGGTACGTATTCTTTATTCCTTATTTTATTTACATTGTAAAATAGAACGATATTACATCTACATCTACGATTAAAATATATTTCATTATATGGAGGAGGGGGTCGTTTAAAATTTCCTAAGCTTGAAGGGGGTCGCTACATGAAAAAGTTTAAGATAAATTCGTGTTCTTTCCTTTACCAAACCTTTTAAATACATATATTACAACATGTACGTATCAATAAAATTTTTCAAAATAAGTAGTTGTTTTAGGATACTTATTTCTGGTTTGTTAAACCTATTAAGCACAAATCTTTGATAATAAGTAGCACAATTTTACTTTGAATTGAGTTTTATGTATATCAGTGTTGTCATACAGTTCTAAATTAAATTAAATAATATTTAGTAATTCTAAAGATTTGTCAAAATTTATAAATTTCAATATCAAACGTTCTGGAACAAAAAACAAAACCAGAAAAAATAGAGTTGACCGTGTCAACTCTGCGATACCCGTACGAATACGTTATTCCATGTACGAATAAATATGCAATAGCTGACTATGGAACAGATTATGTCTTTATGTTGTCGTATTACCATATAAATTTATGCAAAATTTCAGTACTGTGTTTTCAATATTTTCTAAGATATGACCAAACTACTATTGAAATTATATGGCTGAAGTTGAATACGTAGGAATGACTTTTGGTGTCCAACTGAGATGGAAAGAACATGTGAAGATGAAAAAAAAATCTGATGTGGTCAGCACATAACCGACTGCAATGTGTATTGTCTAGTTAAGTGAAAGTGTTACAGAATATTATAAAAATGTCTGTTAAATACTTCTTTCCAGTTTTTAGGACATTAGTAAGCTTGTATGTTAATACCTAGAAATATGTAAATTTGGCTCTTAGTAGTTTCGCTTTGTGCTACCCGAATTCCCTGAAATGGTCGCCAGTGAGTTTCGATAACAACCAGAACTTAAATGTCAAATTTCAAGAAATTCCATCAATTCGTTCCGTAGATATTGTAAAAAATGTAAAATCGGCCCGCAGATCAGTTTTCGAGGTCTGAGCTTTCCAAAAAATTTATGACTTCTTTGTTTTAATACAATGAATTTAAATATTAAATTTCAATGAAATCGGTTGATTATTTCCCTTTATATACGCAAAAATGTATATTTGGCCCGTAGTAAACGTCCAGTTGCTGACACCTGATTTCCAAAAATTAGCAGGTTTCGCGAATGGTCGACCGAAGCTTATATATGAAATTTCAAGTAAATCGGTTGAAAATTTTCTTTAAAATGGTCAAAAATGTAAAACAGGACCGCTAAAAAGTGCCGTTGCCGAGGCCTGATATATTCCAAAAGTTAATCAATCCGTGCCATGGTCGAAATAAACTTACATATAAAATTTCATTAAAATCGATTCAGTTAAACTTGAGATATACGCGTGCACACACAGACCGACAGACCGACAGATTGCTAAAAATAGTTTATTTACTATGGAGAAGTGCATTCCCACCGATAACTCGATATGCAAAATTTGTTGCCATCACATCACCTATCTATTGTGTACACAATACGATTGGTAAATAGAGTTAGAAAACAAAAATATGGTAAACTGAGCTTTTTAGAAGTTCTTAAAAAGCTGCTCTTAAAAAGCTTAAATGTTTGCTCACGCATTCATAAAACGAAAACTGCTAAAACTGTGAACAAATTTCTGAAAAAGCTTTCATTCACTGAATATTAAAACAACGGTGAAAAAAGTTTTGATTTTTTTTTGCATTTGTAACTGTCTTTAATAAACGAACAAACTTCACTTAAGAACTAATTTAGAAATGAATATTCGAAAAAGTGCACTGTTGATTTCTGGGTCGTGGGTCGTTTAATTAATTGCATACAACAAAATAAGGACATACCAAACATATCCAAAAAATAAAGCCTATATGGACATATTACACTTTATTGGCAAGCAAACACAATGTATATGTATGTCAATACACAATGTATGTCAATGTTTGATATGTATATCAAACAAAAACAAACTTTCCAGAACAAAGCGCTTCCTACTATGTGGCTAAAGCCACCTAATTGACGGATAATTGGAGTCAATTTGATGATTAATAACTATCTTTGCCTTTTGATGATTTTTAAGAAAAATACTGTAATGTAAGTATTCATACTATGAGTTTAAGACGATAATCTTGTTTCCACTTCTTTAGCAATGATAATAGGGCAAATATTTTTTCTCATATTGTAAGATAAGAACAAAATATAATAGATTAATATAATAGATTATGTCCTGCTTCAATAAAAAGAAAAACGAAAAATTAAAACACAGTTTGAAATTAAATCTATTTTGATTAATATATAGCTTTTTATACCTTGCATCTTCTTAAAGGGTATATTAACTTTGGTATGGAGTTTGCGACCACTATGTATGGACATGTACAATATATATAGCATACATATATCTCAGCATACAATTCTACGTTGATTTAGATATGTCCGGCCGTCCGTCCAACTGGTTGCACGATAATTAATGCAATCGACACCAAACTTTCACAAGTTGTTTCTTTTGTCCCAAGGACGGACGCTGTTGTGTTTCAAGTAATTCGGATAAATGCAGGGAGCTGCTATACAATTCAAAGGCATTTTTTATATTTCAAAAACTAATAAAGGTACTGATATCAAATTTTGCAACGGTCCAATTATATTCAACATACAAAGTTAGATTCATGAAATTTGGCAGTTGTGCGTCCAATTATAGGTTACATATATCCTTGA